GTGTGTGTGTGTGTGTGACAGAGTGGATCGGACACTTGGGCGACATGAACAAAGCCGCTCTTTCTCTCTGTGTTTACATAAGAAGCATCTTTGGAGTTTCTGGCCCCGGACTGACTCGTCGAGCCTGTGAACACAGGAGCCTCTTGTTGCTTCGTCTTGGCCGACTGCATAGTTTAGTTGCTTCCTGTTTGTCCCTTCACAATAATGGCTAAAAGTTAGAAAAGGGTGGATACACTTTATTCCAATGTAAAAGTCTGGAAACAGGTAGAAACAGAGGAGAGTATCTTACGAACATTTATTACGTTCCTGGTGTTTATTTTACATGGGTTTCTCCATATTATACAACTATTTACCTTATCACTACACTAGTGGTGCAATCTGGCTGCACAAAACCTTTTTTTGTGTGAATATGTGACTTTCAGAGATGCTTTTATGTGGATTTTATTTATCTTTGGACCAGTTTTTATGCTAAGCTAAGCTAATCAGCTGCTGGTTGTAGCCTCATAAGAGTCGTATTGATCTCATGTCACTCGTGTGTCACGTGTTGTTATTGTTCATTTCACCCGACCTGCTCAGTTATTTCAAGTTGTAGTATTTCACCTCGCTCACACGTCGTTGTTCCTGTTTCAAGCTGAAGCTCATGAGCAGATCAGGCCTCCTCAGGTGGAGCACAGTGATGCTAGAGGCTGATCCAGGGTCAGTGATGGTGTAGATGACAGGGAGGCGGATTCCCTTTCAGCCCTGACGCTGTGTTCAGGGTGTGGAAACCTGACCCCCCTCCACGACCCACGGAACCTCAAGCCCTCCCTCCCCTGATTTGATTGGCTCTGCATCTCTGTCCCACTGCAGCATGGGAGTCAGGGTGATGGATACCACTTGGGTGTCGCGGAGGGGCTCGTCGTCTGCGCGTAAAACCGCCTCCACGCCACCGAGCGTGCATCCCCCCGCCCCGCCCACTGATGCGCTCGTCCCCGAGCAACATGGGGAATTCTCCGTCTCCCCCTCCCCCACCCCTCCTCCCACTAGCAGTGACCGAGCCAGGTAAGGCTGTTGTGCCTCATCCTCCTGTTTCACCCCCACACGCCTCCCACGCGATGCTGCTCCCTCCTCGCCGTGTGCGCTGCTGCGGCCTGCGACGCCCTCTGCTCTGAACCCGAGTTTTCTCGTCCGTTGCTGCCCCCCTCACCCCTCCATGAAATACTCACCCCCCCCTCCCCGTGTCTCGTCTGGGATGAAGCATGTCATTTCAAACTTTGTGATCGCTCTTTAAGTTCTTAATGTTTCCTCTCTTAAAGATTCCTCATCCTTGAATTTGTGGAGTCGTTCACAGTTAATTTTATGCCCGAGTGGCGACGCTGAAGATTTCACTCCTCTTCAGGCTGCTTCGCTTTCACAAAACAAAAAAAGGAGAAAAAGTTGGGAAAAGTTCATCCACAGTTCAGTAGAAACGGTTCATTGCTGCATGTGCATGTTTCATATTTGTATTTTGTTTTTGCCAATAGTCCGAGCATCATTAGCAGCATCACAGTCCATTGTCGCAAGGCCCTGCAATGGATGAGGTGACTTTTCCGTTCTATTTCATTGTTGTTATTTGAACACCAGATATTTTCCTGTCTGTGTTTTCTTTTCCCCCCGGAGACCTTTGCTCTTCTCCTCTTCTCCTCCTTCCTAACACCTGATTTCCTCCCTCACGATGGAACAAACGTACACATCCCACTTCTCTTCAGAAACTAACGTGTTCATCCACTTTAACAGAATTTCAGCCTCTGGAGTCTCAGCTCACTTCCCCGTGAAACCTTGATATTTTTATCATTGCAGCTCGGACGATGCATCCTCCAATTGGTCGGACTCCTGTTACGCCTACCCCTCCCCCGAGGAGGAGAGGCCGCCTCCCCCTTACCCCTCTTCCTCATCCTCTTCTTCTTCCTCTTGCTCTTCCTTTTCGCTCCCTCACCACCATTTCTACGCCCGAGCACCTCCGGGTATGCGTCCCCTCGCTCCCAGCCCTGAATCCGTGCCTCCCGGTCCGTCCCCTCCCCCCCGCCACTCCGGCTACAGCCCACCCCCACCCCCCCACTCTCTTTGCCCATCCCCTCAGCAGCTTGACGTCAACTCCAACCCCAAACCCAGCACCCTGCACCTTCCCAAACAGGCCTCCCTGTCCGATGCTCCGCATGCGTCCCCTTCCGAAACCAATGGCTCCACCCTTTACATCAAACCCCCGCTCGTTCTTACTCGTCACGATCTGTTCCTGGGCTCCCCCAAACCCCCCAACACCCCCCTGTCCGCCCCCCCTCCATGGGCAGCCTGTGCCTGTAGCAGAGAGAGAGGAGCCAAGCTGACTAGGTAAATACAAACCCTGCTGAACTCACAATTAACACACAAATGAAGAGAGGCCCCGCGGGGACCAAAGACGAGAGAGGGATGAGAGGAGGATGAGTGGGATTAAGATACTTCCAACAACCCCACTCTCTCTTACTAACTCCCTCGGTTTTGTATCCGTCAGTCATGGAAATCAAGCTGTTCAGGAATTCCATTATCAGATCCATGTTTAATTTAATAGACATGTATGCAATCCATAACTTTCAGTGTTGCCAGGATATTCAGGAGCCGGTTGCCAGGCAACAAGGGAGATTCAAAGCTTTCCGTGAATACCATTATAACAGTGGGCGTTAATGAGTCATGCCAGTGGGCCCAGTCAACCCTGAGTGGTAGACTGCAGGTTCAGACCTTGAATACGAACAACAGATCTGTGTTTGTTGAAGAGAAACGGCCGAAGAACAAGAGTTTATCGTGAGGTTTGATGCTCGTCTGCATTGCTCCAGCAGCTTCAATCATCCGCCGTGTCTCATTTGCTGAACTGGTTCTGTCTTGACCTTCAGGCCCCTCCTCCAATTGGCATTCACGCTGCGCTGCACTGTCGAATAAGGAAAATCCATTAAGCCATCAGGGTTTATTTGGGATTGTTTGAGCTGCTCCTGCTGCACCACAATAGAGACGGTGGTCACTCATTGAACTGCGGCTGCTCTCGTTCTGCGCTGGAGATTTATGGAAACACGTTATGAAGTGAGATGCACGCAGCAGCTCTCTGTAATTGTGTAAATGTGTGTCTGGTTCTTTATCTCCTCAGCACTCTGAAGTACAAGGAGCTGTCTCCGGTGATCGGACAGAAGGGATTCCAAGGAACAGTGACCCCTGGAGGACAGTCGCAGCACTCTGAGCACAGCCCTCACTCCCTGAGGAGAGGTGATAAGAGTGCGACTGTGTTGTTTCACTGCAGAGGCCTGAACATCCAACCCCTCATGTTATTCAATCAAACGCTTTGTTAAAGTTTTGGGTTTTGGGCGTTTCTGTCAAACATCTTGTTCTGTAAATATCCCTTCAATTCCAAATGTCGGTCTCTGAGTCAAGTTAAATAATCAGATTCAAGGCAAAGAGTTTCGTTCCAGCTCCTAACATGAGACAAGATGAGATTTGATAACGATGAGATGAGACAAGTTAAGCAAAGATGAGATAAATGAGACGAGATGAGAAAAGATGATCATTGTAGTGAGATCTGTTTTATTTTTCCTGTCTATGTCTCCACAGCAAAGAAACTGGCCCCGATCCCCCCTAAGGTCCCGTTCTGCCAGACAGGAGCCATGTCCGACCAGTCGACGGGTCAGCCGTCTCCAGTCAGCTTGTCCCCCACTCCTCCCAGCACCCCCTCCCCTTACGGCTTCAGCTACCCCCAGGGATACGCCACCATCGGATCCCCGTGTCAAGCCCAGATGGCCTGCACCCCGTCCCTCTCCTCTCCGCCCTCGCTGGCCGGGACTCTGACGAAGGCCAGGCCGACCCCGAAGCCGCCGCGGCAGAGGCCTAGCCTACCTCCTCCTCAGCCCCCCTCCACACCCGGCACCAGTCCGCAGCCTCTGGAGAATTCGCCGGGTCTCCTGGACGGTTTGTCTCCTGGGGAGAGCATGTCCACAGGTAACGGAACAGATCAGAGCTCAAGTATTTCCACACAAAACACTTCTTTCTCGTCGTATCTCTATTTATTGAAGGGAAATAAAAATATCCACAGCCAACTGATACCAAAAGATTATGGATCAATCACGAAATAACCAGGAAACTTTACATCTCTTTTTGTTCATTGGATTTTCCTCTCACCAGTGAACAGATGTTTATGTGTCACGGTAAAAAACTAGTTGGGAGAAGAGCACAGGAGTTTTTAATTCACCTCATCACAAGTTGGTTCTAATCCTGTTTCCTTCCTGTCGACTCATTGTCTCACCTGCAGCGGTATGAGGCGAGAGGTTCAGTGTGATTCTATGTGTGAGACAAACTTTTAGGGTAAGCAGGAACTTCCGTGTTAAAGCTTCACCTCCCCTCCCCCACCCCTGCGATCCCAGACTCTTCGCCATCTTGGCTCAAACGTGGCGTCAGCTCACGGCGGAGCGAGGCTGCCACCAGACGCAGACTTTGGGATCAGGCTAACGTCTGATTCACAGCTCTGCGTCTGTGGCCGCCTCGCTCCTGATGTCGCCGGCTCGTCACAGACTCCGACAAAGAGCTGCGCAGTTTTTCTTGGCCGTTGCATGGTGGCTGAGAGCGATGCATGGCTTTTCTGTCCGGTCTGAACAGACCAGGGTGGACGCCTTTATTACCCCCCCCC